AATAAAAATAAAGATAAATAAATTAATTTAATTTAATTTTCTGAGTTAGCCTTACCTGAGAAAGCACACATTGCTGTGAGAGAAGAGCTGTAGCTGTTGCTTGCAGGCATTTCATGACACAGATGTGATCAGTTCTATTGAACATCTACCACATTTTCAACCCCTCAAAAAAATCCTGTGCATGCATAGTTTTTGTTTCCTAAATTCTAGTTAAAGGGGAAGGAGGCAGAAAGGACAGGGAAAGGTGAATAAAGCAGAGTTAGTCCAGGTCAGCATTCTCTGGGTACCCAATTCATGACCCAGGTATAGACTCCACACCTTTCCTTCCTGGCTCCCTCCAGGACATTACTGAAGTTGCTGTTTCTTTAGAAATGCTGACCTGACTAACTAATTTTCACAGCTGCATGTGAGCTATATGCTAATTCGCACCATGGTTTAAATCCAGTTGGCAAAGCTCTAAAGGACTTCACAGGTGCAAGATCCTGCTCTAAAACCTATTTACATGACATTTCCAGGGACCTTCTGCTAGTGGTGTGGAAAGGGACACAGAATTATAACACTTCTAGTCATTAAAGTAAAAGGTGTGAAAAGAGCAACTACCTGAGAGCAGTGGAAGATCATCATATATCATGGGCAGGGTCTTAGAGAAGCTGTGAGGTTCAAGTGAAGGAATGGGAGGGCCATTCTGATTAAACATCGGAATAAGCTTATACTTCTCTACTTCACTACAAACACCAATTCAAAATACTTCAAACTGGTTTAAGTGGAATAATGATGAAACACCAAGTTATTAGTTATTCTTGAAATGCAGAAATTGTTGTGAAGGAGTTGAGAATGAATAAAATCAATGTATTTGGGTTCTTCTAAGTAGAAGGTTCTTACCGCATTTAACAAGTTCTTTTTTCATTCTTTTAATCAGAATTCTAAGTGCTGTTTAGTTGGTCCTAAGACTTTAGTTTTGACTGCCCTGTAGGCACCTATTTACACTGCTTATTTGAGAAGAAATAGGAGTTTCTTTGCTTATTTACTCCATGCAACTTTTTTTGCCTTCCCACAGTGGATGATACAGTGGTTGCTATTCCCTATGGAAGCAGACAAGTTCGCCTCGTGCTGAAAGGACCTGATCATTTATGTAAGTAGAAGAAGTTAATGTACACTTGTTTAAGGGAGCCTTGCTAGCCTGCATTGCTCTGTTTACACTGTGGTGTCTGGTTTCCCTCTCTGAGATCACTGATTTCAACACAAGCATGAGTCCTACCCTCAGAAGTTCTTCTCAGACCAGGTTACCTCAGTGGTACACACTCTTTTCAGAGTAGAACTTGGCCAACATTGCAGAATTCTTTGCCTCTCCGTAATTTTTCCCTCATTTCTGTTTGCTTATCCTTTGGCTGGCTCACTTGGTGTCAAGTGCTTTTGTTTTAAATTAAT